CACCATCACAGAGGTGGAGCTGGGCATGACCCCCAACCCTCTAACCCCCCAAAATAACGACCCCAAATCCATCCAGAACCAGCCAACAATGACCCCAAATGACCCCAAATGACCCAATAACGACCCCAAATCCCCCCCTAATTGTGGGGGTGCCCCCCCAGTTTGGGCACCATCACAGAGGTGGAGCTGGGCATGACCCCCAACCCTCTAAACCCCCCAAAATAACGACCCCAAATCCATCCAGAACCCACCGATAACGACCCAATAACGACCCCAAATGACCCAATAACGACCCCAAATCCCCCCCTAATTGTGGGGGCGCCCCCCCAGGCTGGGCACCATCGCAGAGGTGGACCTGGGCATGGCCCCCCCGGTGATGAAGAGCTTCAAGGAGTTCCTGCTGTCCCTGGACGACGCGGTGGACGAGACGGAGGCCGTGAAGCGCTACAACGACTACAAGCTGGACTTCCGGCGGCAGCAGCTGCAGGAATTCTTCCTGGCACACAAGGATGAGGAGTGGTACGTGCCCTGGGGGGGCCTGTGGGACATGGCAGAGAAATCCCCGTCCCCAAAAACCTCTCCTGGAAAAAAAAACCCGGTCCTGAAAAAAAAAGAGAGAGAGATCCTGGAACTGCTGGAAAAACTGTCGGGAAACGGCCCCAAAACGGCCCAAAAATGGCCCCAAAATGGCCCAAAAATCGGCCCCAAAGTGACCCAAAACATCCCTGGAGTGACTGGAGGATGTCCCAAAGTGACCGAAAGTCGCCCCAAAGCGACCCAGAACTGCCCCAAACTGGCCTGGAGATGACCCAGACCGACCCCAAAGTGACCCAGAAATGCCCCAAAGTGACCCGGAATCACCCCAGACTGAGCTGAAATTGCCCCAAAGTGACCCAAAACTGACCCAGACTGAGCTGAAATTGCCCCAAAGTGACTCGAAACTGCCCTGGACTGACCTGAAACTGATTCAGACTGACCTAAAACTGACCCAAAACTGTCCCAGACTGACCCAAAACTGTCCCAGACTGACCTAAAACTGATTCAGACTGACCCAAAACTGATTCAGACTGACCCAAAACCGACCCAAATTGACCTGAAACTGATTCAGACTGACCTAAAACTGACCCAAAACTGACCCAGACTGACCTGAAACTGATTCAGACTGACCTAAAACTGACCCAAAACTGACCTGAAACTGATTCAGACTGACCTAAAACTGACCCAAAACTGACCCAAAACTGACCTAAAACTGATTCAGACTGACCTAAAACTGGTTCAGACTGACCTAAACCTGATCCAGTCTGATCCAAAACTGTCCCAGAATGACCCAAAACTGCCCCAGACTGACCTAAAACTGGTTCAGACTGACCTAAAACCGACCCCAAACCGCCCCAGACTGCCCCAAAAGTTCCCCAAACCCGCCCCCAGAACTCCCCTAAATCCCTGAGGGGGGGGTGGGGGGGTTTCCAGCCCAATCCAGTCCCTTTTTAACTTGGGGTGGGGGGTTTGGGAGGGGCTCAGGGAGGTGGGTGAGGGGGGGCAACAACACCCCCCTCCCCCCCAAAAAAAACCCCCCACACCACCCCCTCCTGGGGAGGGGAGGGGAGAGGGGAGGGGCAGGTTTTTGGGGCTGGGGGAGGGAGTGGGGAGGGGTCTCTTGGTGTGGTGGGGGAGGGGTTGGGGGGTGTCAGGGGGGTGGTCTCAGCGCCGCGTTAACGCTTCCCTTCTCTCCCCTCCCAAAGCTTTGCCCTCCGGACCCGGGAAGCCCCCCCTGGAGAGCGGCAGGGGGTGTGGGGGGGGTGTTTAGGGGGGGGGGCAATTTTGG